GATAATGCTAAGCTCTGGGGAGCTCTTGAATAATTCCAAAAAGTAGTTCTAGTGATGATGAAGTGACTGATATCAATGATTCGTGTGGTGATCTTGAATAAGAACAATTTTGAAATATAAAGCTAATATAGAAAACTAATGTTTCTCATCTTCCAGGTCTAAAGTTGGATGCTGTACAGACTTAGCAGCATATCTAGCCTTTCTTCATTTATGGCATTCAACAGTAAATACTAACCATGCTCTTTTGTTTACTTGTTGCTCTCAGTCTTCTGTATTATATGCCCTATGATCAGGGATTGCTTACCTGTGTTCTTCCTTGATCTTCTGGTGCTGAAGGAGTTCTGGATCGTGCTAATCAGTGTGTTTTTGTTCAGGAAGTAAAGTAACCACCCCAGTACTTGAGTAGAAATTACTCCATACTTTTTAATCTCACATTCACTGTTTCTTGAGTATATTTCATCTCTTCTTATTTTATGTCTTTATAAACATTTATCATTTAAAGTTCTGTTTTCTTTTCTGTTAAATTTTTTAATGCCCTATAAGTAGACACTGTATTTAAGGAATTTTTTTTTTAAGGAATTTTTTTAAAGTGATATATGAGACTCTTTCTAAAATTTTACTCAGTAAGTATAATCATTGGAGGATTTACACAGTATGGTTCATTTTTTCCTTTTTAGAAGTCTGGCTAGATAATAATCACAGTATGAGGCACCAGGATAATCAAGAGAAGCTTAAAAGTATGAAGAGATGCCATGAATATGATGTATTGGGGAAAATATTTCATTCCAGCATAAACTTTGCTCATTTAGGAACAAGACCTCATAAATGTGGCACAGTTGAAAAAAGTTTAAAACATCCTTTCAATTTAATTATACCAAAAAGTCACTGTGGAAGAATGCAACTTGATGAATTTAATAGGAAGTTAATATTCCATATCAAACCTGACAGAACTCACGGTGGAATAAAATACTGTGATTGCTATAAATGTAGGCAAACCAGCAGTAAAGAGTCATGGCTCGTTACAAATCATGTAACACGTGGAGGAGTGTGTTTATGCATGGAATGTGGCAAGGCTTTTAATAAGAGGTCACAGCTTATTATCCATCAGAGAACACACACAGGAGAGAAACCCTACCCATGCAGCGAATGTGGAAAAGCCTTCTCTCAGAAGTCGTTGCTCACTATACATCAAAGGACTCATACAGGAGAAAAACCATATGGGTGTGGGGAGTGTCCAAAAGCTTTCAGCAGGAAGTCACTGCTCATTTTACATCAGAGAACTCATACAGGAGAGAAACCCTATGGATGCAGTGAATGTGGAAAGTCTTTCAGCAGGAAGTCACAGCTTAAAAGACATCAGATAACCCATACAATAGAGAAACCCTATGGGTGCAGTGATTGTGGGAAAGCCTTCTCCCAGAAGTCAGACCTCACTAAGCATCACAGAACACACACAGGAGAGAAACCCTATGGATGCAGTGAATGTGGAAAGTCTTTCAGCAGGAAGTCACAGCTTAAAAGACATCAGATAACCCATACAATAGAGAAACCCTATGGGTGCAGTGATTGTGGGAAAGCCTTCTCCCAGAAATTAAAGCTCGTTACACATCAGAGAACTCATACGGGAGAGAAACCCTATAAATGCAATGAATGTGGGAAGGCCTTCTTTTGGAAGTCACAGCTCATTACTCATCAGAGGACTCACACAGGGAAGAAACCCTATGCATGTAGTGAATGTAAGAAAGCCTTCAGCAGGAATTCACTACTCATTAGACATCAGAGGATTCATACAGGAGAGAAGCCTTATGAATGCAGTGAATGTGGAGAAGCCTTCATTAGAAAGCCCCAGCTTATTAAACACCAGATAACTCACACAGGAGAGAAGAATTACCAGTGTAGTGATTGTGAAGAGGCCTTCTTTAAGAAGTCAGAGCTAATTAGACATCAAAAAATCCACTTAGGAGAGAAACCCTATGGATGTGTTGAATGTGGGAAGACCTTCTTTGGGAAGTCACAGCTCCTGACGCATCAGAGAACGCATACTGGAGAAAAACCTTATGAATGTAGTGAATGTGGGAAAGCCTTCACTCAGAAGTCAAGCCTGATATCACATCAAAGGACACATACAGGGGAGAAACCCTATGAGTGTGGTGAATGCAGAAAAACCTTCAGTGAGAAGTCAAGTCTCATTCATCATCAGAGAACCCATACAGGAGAAAAGCCCTTTGAATGCGGGGAATGTAGGAAAGCTTTTGCCTGGAAGCCACAGCTCATGAGGCATCAGAGAATCCACACAGGGGAGAAGCCCTATGAATGCAGTGAATGTGGAAAAGCATTTGTTCAGAAAGTGCAGCTTATTAAACACCAGAGAAATCACACAGGAGAGAAAACCTATGGATGCAGTGATTGTGGAAAAGCTTTTTTTGAGAGGACACAGCTCATTATACATCAGAGAATTCATACAGGAGAGAGACCATATGAATGTGATGAGTGTGCAAAGTCTTTTACTAGAAAGTCTCACCTCATGAGGCATCAGAGAATTCACACAGGAGAAAAATACTATGGGTGCAATGAATGTGGGACCACCTTCAATAGGAAGTCACAGCTCACAGTACATCAGAAAAATCATCTAATGTAGAAATCATATGAGGGCAGTGAATGTGGATAGCCTGTTCTCAGATGGCATACCTTCTAATACTTCTGAGAAGAGTGTTTCTTACTCCAGGAGAGGAACCTTATCAATGAAGTGAGTGTTGAAAAAGCTTTCATGGAAGTCAAGTCCCATTAAACAGAATTCAGAAAGGACAGAAATTGTAAAAAAAAAAAAAAAAAAAAAGGCCAGGAATGTAGAAAAGTTTTCCCAGAAGTTGGCTCATTACTAGAAGGGAGTTCAACAAGGTGAAAGTTTTACCAACATTGTGATGGTACTAAAGCTTTCAGTCAGAAGTCATAGCTCATTAAACAACTGAGGACCTAAAACAGGAGAAAAACTACTGTTTAAACAAGTGAGCAAGAGATTTCATCAAGAAATGACAACTCATTGTACATCAGAGAACACTTAAAACCCATTGCTGTCGAGTCAGTTCTAACACATAGCAGCTCTAGAGGACAGAGTACAACCGCCCATTGGGTTTCCAAGTCGATAATCTGTACAGAAGAAGACTGCCACATCTTTCTTCCGTGGACGGGCTGGTAGGTTCAAACTGAAAACCTTTCTGTTCACAGCCCAGCAAGTAACCACTGCAGGAAATTCTGAATATCGTATATTAGAGATTTTATACTGAGGAGTGGACCCAATAATTTGGAGAATTCAATAAGCATGATCCTTTTAAAATAATTCTACAAGGAAATTGTGTTCACTGTGTGTAAATTGTTAGAAAAATAGACTGAACTAAATGGTAACTCTGCTTACTGAGTTGAGGATTTCTTGTGTCGGCTGTTGTGGAATAACAAGGACCAGATTTATTTTCCTGTATATCTATATATACAATATATATGAACTAATGGTTTTCAGACATATGACAAGCACAAGTCTGTGATCCTGAGAGAAGGAAAGTATGGTGAGGTGAGCCCTGAGACTGCCCAGCTAACTGACTTGTGGCAGTTTTTAGGTCCAGTTCAGGGAAGGGAGTAAACAGTCTTGCTAAATTTAGAAGGCATTATTTGATTGGTGCAAGGAATCTAGAATTTGCAGCAGAGTGCAAGAAAGAAAGGAGCTTCCCAGAGATAGTGTGGTCTGAAATCAGCCAAGGTCTCCTTTAACACTTTTTGTTTGCACATGTGTGAAAGGAAGCTTCCTGAGGCCAGAAAAATAGCCACTAGAAAGTGCAGTCTGAACAATTGCAGGAGCTCACACAGGTCTGGGGGTAGTTCATGTTCCCACCCCCCAGAGTAGAAGAACATCAAGTAGAATTCTCGGAATGGTATTGTTTTAGGCGTGAGGCTAAATTAGCCTTAGATTCAAGGCTACTCTGGACCCACCCTAACAAAGTTTAATCCTTTTAAGGCCTAACTGATTCCAAGTAACTACACTATGTTGTTGTTGTTATGTGCTGTCGAGTCGGCCCCGACTCATAGTGACCCCTCCTTGGGTTTCCGAGGCAGTATCACTACGGAAGTAGGATTGC